CTGCTCATGTGCACACAGGGAATGTCTTGTTAGCATCTGAATATCGTAAATGCTTCATTTTCTTGTGTGCTTTAGTGAATAATAACAATTTTAAAAAGCACATTTCCTTATGAGCATTTTAGTGTTTGTCTGCTCTAAAGGATGTGGCTGGTGGGGTGGAAAGGAAAAGAAAAAAACAAACCAAACCCAAACCCAGCCAAAAATAAAGCACCCTCAGTCACTGGGAGGCATTTTCAGAATTGTACTAGTGTGTTCTGTGACCAAATATCCCACCTCATCTCAGAGTCCACAAAGCTCAGCTACAGTTAAAGCAGAGTCGTGCCTGATGCCAACAGCTTGGGGCAGTGCCTGCTCTCAGGGAGGGTGGGTGGCAGTGCCACAGAGCACTCAGCACTGTGCAGGACAGGACCATAACCTGCTCTCCAAGATTACTCTGAGGCAAATAATCTCTCAGGGCTTTTCCTACTACATGCAAAAGATAAACAACCAAAAATTATTAACTCTATCAAAAAGGTTACAAGCTCATCTCATCATTCAGGAATCAACATTATCACTAAGTTAGGCAAGGAATTTTTTAACATGTCAAAGGAGAGGGGACAGTTGGTACTAAATCCAATTGGCAGAATAATTTCATTCAGCAATTTAGATACCACATAACCACTTAAGATTGCAGTACATAACTAAAATTGTATCTTTACTAAAATTTTAAAGTAATAAATAGACAATTTAAATCAAAAATTGGATGGAATCTGTAACTGAGGCAAGGTAATCACAATTCTACAAAGTGTCATTTGGGGAACTTACCATCAACTTAAATGCACATGGTATATTTACTTAGATGTGTCTTACCTGTAAAGATGTTTAACAAGTCAAAAGAAATCTTATCTGGAGTTGGTGATGTGAGCTATATTGTCTATAAAATGAATAATAGAGAATTAATTAATTAATGGGGGAGTTGTGAGATCAAAGCTGCTGATGTTTCTGACTCTCCTTCCTCTCTCTCTTTGCAGATCAACAAGGCTGCCCTGCAGTGTTGGGGAGTTCTGTCCCACTGACGCCCTAAGAGTGGCAGCACACATTGTGCTGATGTGGCTTTGTTGATATCAGCACTGAACTCCTACGTGGCATCTGCTGTGACTACAGGGAGAGACAGGTCTGCTTGAGTGACACAGGTACCAATCCACCTCAGGGAGCCTTGTCTGGGGATGAGTTCAGCACAGGGGAACTGTCTCAGGCACTCCATCCTCAGGCTTTCCACTCTCACCACGTGTGGGCAGTGCTTTCTACTCTCTTCTGATACCAATTACAGAGAAAGCATCACAGTGACCTTACAGAGCTACCTGGTCTCTTAGACACAGTGCCAGTGAATTTCAGGAGCTTGCAAAATATCTCCTCTGATAGGCCCTTTCCTTGGTACACCTTCTATCCCATTGCAAGCACAAGTTTTGGCTTGCCCTCCCCTCCCCAGACTGTGTCATTCAGCTTCTAAATAATCAATTCCAAAGCTTTTCCCCCAGCCTCCAGTCTGCACCACCTTCTGTGCCTTAAATCCAGCAGATTCCAGGTCTCTCCCAGCAGCTCAGAAGCCCCAGTTCTTACCAGACTCTGGGGAAGTTGTTTGGGGTGGTGACACCCATCACTGCCAGTCCTGGCCTGAGGCAGCCACAGAGGAGCAGACCCAGCACTGGGACAGGGATCTCTGCTGGAGCGTGTGCCGAGTGCTGTCCCCACACTGGGCACTCAGCGTGGTAACCCACAGGTGTGCCCTGACCCTGGAGCTCCTGGCTTATCCACAGGAGTCAGGCACTAGTTATCCTGGCAAGGATTTAAAAAAATTAACAAAAATCAAAACCAAGATCAACTAATCAAACCACTACCCATGGTGTGTTGTGCTGCCATTTTCTTTGCCATGAGAATGAACACCAGTTTGTCCAAGAAATTTTGGAAATACTCCCCATATCCTATTCTCCTCCTAATGGTGATTGCCTAGGCCCAAGGCAGAATAAAGCCATCAGAATAAACTGAAAATTGATTAACTTTTCCAGGGAATAGAGGTGGGCGTCTCATTATTCAGGAAGTTGGTGATTTGAGTGGAGTGCAGAAAGAGGAAAGGCACAGAGAGAGAACAGCAGCAGTGGTGAGACAGTGGCCCTCGAGTGCTACTTTGCCAATTGAACCCCAGTGTGGCAATACCACATCTTGCTGGTGGTTTCCAAGAATGGCCAGAACAGGTATTTGTATTCCCAGAGCATAAGGAACTCCTAAAGAATTGCTTCCATGCCAGCTGGCCTGACAAATAGGTATGTGGAAGAACACTGTTATATGTGTGTGCTCAGAAACAAACACGTGGGAAGTGTAGCCTGGCCTGCATTAGGAGCCCTCTAATCATGTGCAAAGGAGAGCAATTCCCTGCCAGAGTATGATGTTGGGGGTTGCTGGTTTGCAAATCAAAAACCAAGGGTTCTTAATTCACACTAACCCAGAACACAGCTCCAATTTGATATGAAGAGAAGATGGTTTCATGATGAGGACAATCAGATATTGGAGCAGTTTGCTCATAGCAGCTGTGGGAACTCTGTCCTGGGAGATTGTCAGCAACATTCAGCAACCTGTTCCAAGTTCAGTGTTGAGCCAGAGATGGGACTGAAGACATTTGGAGACCCTTCCTCCCTGATTGATCCTGTGCTAATTCCTCATTTTCTGCACAGCCATTCTGAAATGGAGGGGTTCTTCTTGTATTATTTGGATACACATTTTTTGGGCACAAGGATTGCTCTGTGAGCTGATGAAGCACAGGCAAAGTGACTTTCTCCTACTCTCACCTATCCAACTGCCACAGCAAGTCTTGGGCTCCTGCAGCTGGCCAGACAGCCCTGCCAGGGCATATAAAAACAAGGGAGAAGCATTTGGGATTATCTCCTGAGAAGAGTCTGTTCTTTGGCTAATTTGATAACCAGAATTTGGTACTTGCATTTGCACCTGCCTGGAGTTGTGTAGTATTACAGCTTTGGTGGACACCTACTTTTTCAAAGCTCCAAGAAATTTGCTGTCATTTCCAATACTCAAAGCTTTTAGTTCAGTGCTGTTCACCAGTTATTATCAAGCCTCCTTCCTTATTTGGTTTCTCTCCTCATGGTGCTGCTGAGAAATGGTGGAATATGGGTACAATCCCAGGTCATGCCAGCTACATCTTCACTGCTTTTCAGTGCCAAAGAGTCCCTTAGGTAAGGACAAATTCTGCTTGATGCCCTTTGGAAAGCTTGGTCACATTAAGCAAAGTTTGTCTCTGCTCACAGCTATGCTGTAAATACTTTGTATTGCCCAAAGTTCATCAGGTTTCAGGCCAGCCTTCTGCAAATGGTAACCTCAAAGGCACAGCATGGTCACAGATATATCATTGAAATATAAATAATTCGTACAGAAAAAGCCTTCTCTTGAAGAGAAAAATCAAGCATTCAAATGCTTCTCCCATGACATGGATGTGAAGTTTAGGATCAACATTAAAAACCAGTTGATGAAACCAGTTCAATTTTTTTATTTAGTACTAATGCAGTGTTTGTCCTGGTAATATCATGAGGCATAACTACTTCAAACAGGTGAGGTTTCATGGAGCTCTCCACTCTTGGAAGTGTCTACATCCTAACACCATTGCCCAGTGCAAAGCCAAGCTCTTGCTATATACTGGGATTTACAAGCAGCAGCACTCAGTTGTGTGAGGATGCTGTTTGCACCAGCAGTGCAGGGGACTTGCAAAGCTCCAGCTGCATGTAGCATCCCACTGCAAATCCACCTGCATGTGCCACAATGTTTTATCTCTGCCAGGGCAGTCAATTTCAGTGTTTTCTGCATATGGATTCTAGGTGTCTGTCACCACAGTACTTCAAAATTGATCTGGTGTTTTAATCTTGCAGGCTTGGAGATTTCATGTGTTAAGATGATCTAGCTGGAGTAACCAGTGACAGGATGTTCAAAGAGGTCTTGTTAATGTCTCTCATAAAAGCTGAAATGAACTGCTATGAAATCAATGAACATTTAATCAGTTACTGACTACAGTAATAAAAAGTGGGAGGATACCTGTGTGTCCTCCAGAGGGATTCCTGTTTGGACATGTAGATTTATTAAAACCTTAAGTAGAAGAGTGGCAGTTGATTATTTATCAACTTACTTATGATCACAGAAGTGTAAAGCAGCTGCAGAAGTACCTTACAGAGTTCTGATTGATCTCCTTGCCCTCAGGGACAGCTCCCTGCCCACCAGGACCCCCAGGCCCTTCTCCTCAGAGCTGCTCTCCAGCAGGTGACCCCCAGCCTGTCCTGGGGTCTGGGGTTACTCTTCCCCAGGTGCAGGACCCTGTATTTCCCTTTTCTGGATTTCAGACAGGTCCTCTGCCCATCTCTGCACCCTGCTGAGCTCCTTGGGAAGGACTGGCTGCTCCTCCCAGCTCTGTGTCACCACTGACCCTTAAACAACTCATACTGAGGGGCACCACTGGTGACAGACCCCCAGCCAGACCCTGTGCCAGTGTTTATGACCCTCTGCAATCTGCTGTTCAGCAGGTGTTGATGGGGGAGATAAAACCTTCAGCCAGCTGTCACAAACAGCACTACATTAATCACTGCCAGTCAACAAGAAAACTCAAGGGCAGAAAATACTCAGATACTATATTTAAAAAGAAGTAAAAAGCTTAGCTGCTCACCCACACTATCTGAGACTTGACAACAGCACAGAAAGCAGCATCACAGTAAACTCTGCATGCCATAAAAGACAGTTTCCTCTTCTTCCATGAAGATTTTGCTGGAATGTTTTGCCAAGAATTCCTGTGCATGGCATCTTCCTTTTTTTGTTAATGGCACAATGCCACCCATGTCACACTCCTGTTTGTGGCTCTTTTACACAATGCAGGTTTTGTCACCATGATTTGCAATGAAACGCATGGATTATTTATTTCATATACATATGTTTCAAATACTTTGAAATAGTCATTGAAAAGGTGCATTCTGTGTATTTATGAGATTACCAGCTTTTATTGTTTTCTAAAATATTTTACAATACAGAGACCCAAACCAGTAATTCCTGACAATTTCAGCAACTGTCCTGTGGATGAACAAATATGTTGGTAAGTTTTTGTTGACAGACATATACATACATCCACTTTCTAAGCTTGCACATTTGGATTCACTGAAAATGATGACTAAATATATCTATAAGCTCAAAAAGCAAATGATAAAGTCCAAGATTACCAACAGTGTTTTATAGTTACCTTGAAAAAGATTTGTTAACTTCATTACAGTGTAGCTTCCTAACATGGCATATCTACTTACCTGATACTTAGTTTTAACACAGATCTGCTGTAGTTTTACAACCCAGTTTTCAATGTCACAAATGCATATTTGACACGATTACAGCTGGCCAAGTTGTAACTGCAAACAAATGTAGATTTTACAGTGTTCTGCTACAATAACCCATGTTTGGACTAAAGCTAGTTTATATTTTGACTCATTAATTTATCCACAAATACTGATTTTGAGTATATTAGTGTATTTACTGTACTTCTGAAAAATCTAATCACAGAATACTTTTTCTATGGTACAGTAATGAATATGGCAGGAAAGCAGATTTAAATATACCTATAATTTAAACTCTTAAAATAGTCTAAATCTTATTGACACCAAAAGGCTTGATAACTAATAGCCATGCTCTTCATATTTTGGAATATCAAATTATATGTACATATACACAACATAGATAGGCTCTTAATAAAAGCATTTAGTCTATTTTACAGTCTTCTCTGTTCAAGATAATCAGCCTTCACAGATCTAACATTTCAAATCACCCAAAAATCATTAGCAGTTAAAAGGAGATTTTTTTTTCCTGCAAATATGTGCTGGAAATAGCCACTCTTCTGGGGCTTATGCATAATTTATATTTCTTTTGAATGCCACTTAAGATCTAGATGGAGAACTCTTAGTTCAAGTGTCAACCCACATAAAGAACATTTGTAATAAATCCCAACCCATGACACCTGCAGATATCTCTGCTACAAATAACCTTCTGTAACAGATATTTATTAAATACAGTATTTTGTTTTACAACTCCATTTACAACTTCAAGCCATGCTGACAACACAGAAAGATTACTACAACATGGAAAGAGCTTTCATTCAGTCAGGTGGTGACTAAATCTATATCATAATTTAAGTATTAATTGATAAAGCATACAAAAAGGTGCTTAACTACATAGCATTTAAATAAAAAAATACTGCATCTTTCAGACATTGATAAGAACAAATAAAAAATTAACTATAATAATCTTCAAAATTCAAGTTGCAAGTTACTGAAGGTCACTTAAAATAACTGATTAAACACAAGTGAGCATAAGCCACATACCTGGGGTAGGATGAGGCATAAGCATAGAAAATGCAAAAATGCTTAGGATCCACAAATACAGACCATGTGGAAAGAAAAAGTTTAAAAAGTATTTTTCCTATCATACTATTTTTTTCAACCTCTTTTCCTTTGCATTGTGTACAAGTTGTGAAAACAATGTCAAGCTTTTGTCATTCATTCAGCCTTATTTCAGTATCAAGCTCTCACCTTTTCATTAAAATATATACACTCTATACATCCATTCAGTTTCTTCTCACTTCACCTAAATACACTGTACAGGCCTACAGAGCTCTTGTGACACTTCTGTTTATTATTTTGTCCTTTGTCACTGGATTGGTTCCACATAGTTTGCTGGGTATAAACCAACTTGTCCATTGTCCAGGCGTCCTTTGCACCAGCCCTGCTCATCCTCATTCTCCATTTTGGTTAATTCATCCCCTGAAGAAAAGAAGGAACATTTTCCCCAACTTAGTGCAAGTCAAACAAATGTTTCATTAGGCTTATGGTCTTGAGGTTTTATGGGAAACATGGAAGAAAATGCTACACAGATGGAGCAACTCAGAATTTGCTTGCTAACTTCCAGACTGTCCATTCAGACATTTATGAACTGTAAGATAACTTCATTTTGACTACAACACACATGTGATATTCCACATCCTCAGGGAATACTTTGACTTTTGAGAGCCTGCAGACTCCAAGATGCTCCATAGGAGCAGAGGAAGCTCCACCTCAGCCAGGCAAAAAAGGCTACATTGAGTAACAATTACCCCCTCCCTTGCAATTTATTTGTGTCAAATGCTTTACCTAGATAGAAGTGATTTGTGTTTTATCTTAGCAGTAGGAAATAGATGATGAAGATATTAATCACTTATTACAGTCCCAAATAGTAGAGAATCTTGGTGTCATGTAAGAGAATATAAACTAGCCTAGGGACTATTAAATTCTTTGGTAGAAATGGACAAGCCTCAGATCTTCTCAAGACACTTATCTTTACAGCTCTTCTCTTAGATAAAAAGGTCAAAGCTTTATCTCTTCCAATTTTAAAGTTTATCAGAAAACTAATACCCATTATGAACAAATGTTTGGCACTTCAGACTCTACTTGGTTTATGGAGACATATTACAATTTTTCCACTTTTTCTAATGCTGCAGCATGAGAGTGTACAATTTCAAACCTTCCATGAAATGTGTGTTAATAAAGAGTAAAAATAATGACTACCATAAACTCACATTTCAATGACAGTATGCCCTAACAAATGCATTTGTATCAAAGCTTGGGCTTGGAAACTCCGTGATCCTGGAGGTCTAAGAAAATATTAACACTTCAAAGTGTCATCTGCACAGCAGTTACAATGAAACCACTGCGATGATAAAAGCAGAACACACAATAATATATTCTGACAACATTGCAGGGACAGCATTTCCTGTCCTATTCTCAGCCACAGAGGGCCACAGGAGGGCGAGACAGACACACTGTAAATAATTATGTCCCATCCTCTTACATGCTTATAAAGCCTCTCATAAGATATGAATAACTTGCTCTTTGGAAGCCTCCCACAGCTGTTTGCCAAGAGAAAAAGAAATCAAAAAGCACCCCATGTAAAGGTACTCGACTGAAAAACTGAGTTTCATGTATTAAAGTACATTTAATGGACACTGTCCAGAGTATGTATTCTGTAACAAGTATTTAGAAGCATTCTGTAGGTAAATTCTGTGAATACCCAAGGAAATCCCATCTGAGACTATCCATGTACATTTGAACAAATCCTTCAAATGCATTAATCCTCTGTTGACAGCTGCTTAGGAGTGTAGGGATATCTACAGAGGAACAGAGGATTGAGTACATTTTAAATTGGCTCCCATCTATCAAGTGAGTTCTTTTCCTTAGTTTTTTTCTATGATCAGTGTAAAGCTAGTCACACTAACACTTCTGCTTAAAAATTAAGTACCCATTCTATAATTTAGCATCTGTAAGAGGATTCATGGTCTAGCACCTCATCCCTTTCCTACAATTCTATCAATCCCATAATTTGGTGTTGTAACATTCTTGAATGTTCTTCCTTCAAAGTACTGAACTCTTTTTAAGTGCACTCTGCACATATCTCACAGTTCATACCTCCTCTTCTTTATCTGTACAGACCTCCCACACTGAGAGCCACTTGGTTGAATGGTTTAATGCAAGTGACACAGCTGGTACTCCAGCACAGAACACCTAACTTTGTATTTAACCATTACATCTGTGTATATAAACACTGCATAATTCTGCCAAGGAAAGATTCATTACTGTAAACCCTTGCTGCTTCACAGGAACCATAGATATATTTCAAGAGGATTAGCATGCTTCCATCCCCTGCTGAGAAAAAAGGAGCAGTTAAAAATCTATAGAATGAAAAGTAACTTTTGGCTTGTGTGCATTCCACAGAAAGTACCAGATGTTTTGTTACTACTGTACTTCTGTCAGGGCACAATCAGCAAGGTTCATGGACAAGTAACCCATTCCTCCACTCTGGAAGCCTACAACACTTGTCTACAAAGAAGAAAAATCAGATGTTCAGTGGTTTCACTAATAAGTAAGGAAGGAGGTGAGTTAGAGGCAGAGCACCACCACCTGAGCTGGGGGGTGTTTTGGTTCAGAAAGCACAAACTGCATTTAGGATATGACTTGGGGACACACTGTTCTGAGCACCACCCTTCTCCATCAGCAGAACAGACATCCTGCAGTTCCCTGATTAGCTACAACATGGACTGGTTTCCTAATTTTCAGCCCTAACATCCACCTAAGAACCACAGCAGGTGGTATAGATACAGCACACTTCTCACTAACCCCAGCTGAAAGGGAGGCAGAACCAAAAGCCTTCTCGAGTTTCTTTTCCACACTTAAATCCTGTTTTTCTCTTACAATTAATCTGGTTGTTACAGGAGATGGGAATGAACGACAAGCAAATAGGAAAAGAGAAACTCAAAGAGTGTCTATCTCTCTCATTTGCACAAAGTGAAATTCTGTTTGCTTTTCCTAAACTACTCCTTCAATCTTGTTCTGGAATTCCTGGTTGGAAAAGATTTCCTGCAATTGTGGGCTGCAGACAGAAAAAACCACAGCAGCTGTTACTGTCAGCAAGGAAGAAAAGGGAGAGAGAGAGACTTTTCAGTTCTACAGGTCATTTTGTTTCACTTAAGATGGTAAGAAAGGAACAACTCAGAGACAACCCAACAAATTCCAAAGAGCTAGGAGTCAGTGCTGCCAAACAGGGGATACCAAAATGCATTATTAGGAGGGATGATGATTAAATAGGATCCTGCATGTGGAGCTATACATCCAGAGAAACAGGTGACTTCAGAAAATAAAAGCTAAAGAGAAAAAAAAAATCCCCAGCCTTTCTCCTTTTTGACAAATATTTTAAAGTAAACGTTACAAACTTACCAGCTTTAAAGCTGAGCTCATCCTGCTCCTGGCCCTCGTAGTCATAGAGTGCACGTACTCTCACCTCCATGGCAGGAGGGGTGTCTTCATCAAAGGGATTGGTGTCTCCATTCGCATCGGTGGAAGAGAAGGGGTTGTTGGACTCCTCATCAGACCAATCTGTAGGGTAGCTTTGGTTTTTCTCATAGCTGCTAACACTGAAAATCAATTTTGAAATTACTCTTTCCTGCTTTTAAAATACTATACTAGAAATACTACTAAGATACCCCTAAATATGCTTAAACTCCACTCGAAGGCCTAGTTTTGAAACTTTCTTTCTGCTATCTTGTCATCTATCTTTAACTGATAATACCTCACTAAAAATAAAAACATCCTTGCAATGCATCTACAAAGTTAGAAAAAGCAAAGCCAATACATATCAATCTCCCCACAAACACAAAAAACTTCTCTATCAAGAAATTCACATAATCCATGGGATTATTTACTCTGGAAAGGCAAAAGGGATGCCACAGTTGATGAGAGGAATTATCTGGTTTAGGTAAAACATTTAAATTGCTTTGCATAACCTTCCTCCCAAACCTCTATGCCATCTCCACAACAGCTTCCAATACTTTTTCTATATTGCAATCCACCATTAAAAAACTTCATTATACAGCAACAGCTCAATCATTTAAAGGGAAGTTCACTGTTCAGCATGCACATGCCAGTTAAGAGTGGAATATCCCTAGAGTGTACACTGAAGCAACAGGCAGCTGCTCGAGAAGGTCCTAAACAAAAAAAGAAAGCATCTTAAAAGCAGATTTATTTAGTGAGAAGACACAGAGCAGTAAAGCTCCAGAAACAGTTTCACTAGAAAAACACAGTTCTAACATTTCATAGAACTGGGAAAGGAAGGAAAAAAAGCAACAACAGTTCTGTTAGCAACTGCCAATAACCACAGTAGTTTGAAGCCAAAGATCAAGCAACAGATATGGCATCTGTTAAAAAAGACAAGTTAGGTTACAGTGTTGCTTACACAACTGCTTAAAAACACTTCATGCACTGACCAGTGTAGTACTATAGAAACCGAAAATAGAAAACCCTGGATAGAGAAAGTGCGAACGTGGAAACAATTAAAAAACAACTTTTCACCAACTTTTTGATCTTATTGTCCTCCTTTTCACTGACAGTACTCCCAGTATCTTCTTCATCTTCAAAGGGATTGTAACTTGATTGTACTGACTGCACTGTGTTACTCTGGACACTAACACTGCTAATTTGGAAAAGAAAAAGCATTATGGTGATCCTATCTGTATAAGGGCACATTGTCACTGGTGTCCCACTAAGCAGTTTCTTAGCAGACCCCTCCTTCAGCCAAAAACATTTAAATACACAACTAAACAAAAACAAAACATCTATCAAATGCAGCTTAAGGCTCAAGAAAGCTTGGAAAGTCTCACATATGGAGTATTCCTCGACATTTAGAATATCCTTTGTGGACCACAATTTCTTTTTTCCTACTGCCTGCAATAAAAGGCAATGCAATTTTTCTGGCCAGCTTAATTCCTTTTTAAAGGAGTTGATGTTAACAGTTTCGTATTACTTGTATTTTGTATCACGTCCAGAATTCTGACGTGACTAAATGTTTTGCAAACTAAGATCTCTAAGTATTATTGTCATTTCTAGAGATGGGAAGGTAGGAAGAGACCACCAGATCAGGTACAGAAAGATCAGTTTCTCATGAAGCTTGGTTTCTTTCAGCTCCCAATGGAAAGAGAGCTATAAAATAAAGAATAATTCCCAAATTAATTTCTGAAGTGCAGAGGCAACATTAAAAGTGCTGGCAGATAATTATCATTTGATTTAACAGTGACTTTTTGATCCTGGAGAGCTTAGTGTATTTGAAGGCAACAATCTTTTCCAGTGAGTGTTTTTAGGCATAAAGAAGCTACCTGCTATGTTTGTTAGGTTGTGAAACTTGGTCTCCCGTCTGATTAATACCAGTCAGGGTCACTCCATCAGAAGCTTTCTTCTTTTCTCTTCTACTGAGAGTGCGGTTCAGGTCTGCAGACCACTCCTACCAATGAATGCAAAAATGTGATTGAGAAATTCAATTGAACAAATAATCATCACATTTAATTTTCAAACCGAGTTATGGAACATACATCTATAGATACAACACTACCAATAATTACTAAAGATGAGTCGCTCTGAACGTTTCATTTACAAGTCTCATCTAGTTCCCACTCCAGCAATGCAAACAGGTATCTGTGCTACTCATAAAATCCCAAAGTTACCTGTACTTCCCTGTTTAGTATACTGAACCCCTTGAAAAGACTTAAAATACCAGACATCTGGCACACAACTGGAGAGATCAGAAGAGCTGGCCAGTACAGATATTTAAAAGATGTACTGTGAGGGCTCACAGTTTCAAACAATGCCAAGACATCTGGCTTTAAAAGGTAATGCTAACATTCAATTAAACAAGGTATTGTTAGACAGGGCTTACTTTTCCCTCTCAGATGACATACAAAGAAGAAGCTAATTTAAATCTAAGATTTAAGCCCTTCAGGTACTTCACTCTAGATTTAGTGAAATTCATTATCCTAAAAAGCCATCTGTAGGAGTTAAGGTTCAAATCAACACAAGTATTGACAAGACTAATGATGCCACTTGTAGACCCTCCTTGATGTTTTGAACCATTCAGAGGCATATGAACCCAACTCCTGCATCAAGTCAAAGTCAAGCTTTGATATCCTGTTACACTATATACACTATACTGATACAAAGCAGGAATCAACAGAAAACAAACTGGATGCAAGTAAATCCCCTATGCTGAGACATACTTCCTCTCAGAAGTCTTAAAGGTAAAAAAAAAGCAAGGAGAGAGTTTGCTACACCAAAGATGGCATTTGAGGTAAGTATTTTTGTCAGGAAATAGAAGCTTCAGAGTTGCTATTATTCCTGTGCAGCACAAGCAGTCCAGTGCTTTCTGCACAGTTCTTCAAATACCTCATTATTTTAACTTTGTAAAATACATATTGGATTTCTGAGTTACCACAGTTTAAAGACCACTGACCTATGATATCTGCAGTTTACAATGCAATGTCATAGTCATTTGATCATGACTTTTTTACTTACGTCATCCTTGTAGCATGTAAACGAGAAAAAACTTGATTAGGATAACAGTAACAGCAGCATTGCATTTGTTAATTATAATGTTTAAGAAAAAGGGTAGTAACTTCCTCACACAGAAGTAACTGTACTTCAGTGTTTCAGGCAAAGAAATTCTACAGTACTGTGATGAATTTTCTTCCTCAAACCTCTAATCTAAAGTTACTCAGCATTTTAAAAACAAGTGCTATTTTCCTTTATGGTTAATAAGAACAGTGAAACAGTCCAGAGTTTATGCTCCCAGTCCATTAATTTAATATTTAGAACTTATTTCAACTAAATCCATGACTCCGGTCCAACTCCTTCCACTTTCAGCCATCATACACAAGTAGTATGATCTGCACTGACACATTTTTGTATTTATTTCTTGTAGGCTATGTTAACAGAGCACTACTTAGAAAAACTCCTTCCTTTTGAAAATGGCATCCAGCAATAAAATGACCAGCTGGGTAAAGGCAACTTTTTTTAATATAGCAGTATTGAATTTTAAATACCAGTTTTCAGATTTTGAACTGTTTGGTTCAGACTTTTTCAGAGTCTTTGCAGCATAGACTACAATTATCTGCTATCAGAAAAGAGATTCAAATTGAAGTTGGACACCAAAGGGGAGAAGTAAAACATAAAGGATAACATATGCAGGTGTCAGAGATGTATCAACTAAACAATGGCTAACAATTTCACTAATGACTTAAGCTTAAAAAAAGTGACTGTAGTTTTGTAGTTTTTGTAGTTTTCTGGTTTACCCATTTTCTCTTTAAACAGATGCTCAATATAATCACCTCCAAAAGTTGTGGGATGAGAAAAGCCCAATGAAAATTGAGATAAGAAAAGTACTATGACTTGTAAAACAAAAAGATTAAGTGCTAGAAACGTGAAGTTAAGAATTACACCAGAAAGAAATATTACAAAAAACAAAGATAAAAAAAAAAGACAAAACTATTCTGGGGTTTAAGTATTGTGACCTTACCTCAAACTGAGGCCAATTCATTGACATCCCTGGACCCTGATTAGCTCTAAACCACCGCAAGTCTTCCACAGCATCTGCTGTTTTGATATTCTGCTCCAGCTCACGGTAGATATTTTTGTAACTGCAAAACAAATTGGTCTTTTAATTTAGTATAACATTTAGAATCATGGCAAATCCCTAGATGGTTTTTAAAAAAATATTTTAAAGCTCACAGTAGTATGATAAAAAGTTATAGCAAGATAAGCTTTTAAAAATTGACAGACCTGTTAACTGCCTGTAAAAAGGGAAGAGTAGCCCAACAAGTAAACTTGCTGAAAGTTCACCACACCATAAAATCCTTGTTTACCAGATTTTAAAACTATGACTCTTGTGTAATTTAACTGCCTGTCATTAAAAAATATATATACATACAACTGTATTTAAACTACTGAACTGCATTATTGAAGTTTCTTGAATTTCAAAGCTTATCTACAAGACAGTAGAAACTGGTTTTGTGCTATGTCCATAGGACTCTGTGAAAACTTCTGTTTTAATCCAGTGAGAATTGTAAGCAATTATAAAAATAAAACCCTCCAAACTTCAAGCAGAGGTAAATGAGTTAAACATTCTCCTATGCAGGTATGACATCTGCCAGCTGCTTTTACTGGTTTGGGTACTCTCTGTTTTTACTAACTGTACTATTTATATCAAACACTGAAAAAGAACCTTACTACTACTTCTTACTCTAGCTGTTTTTCATTAACAAAATAGAAGTCATGTTGCAAGATACAGCTCTAATCCCCTGATCCCAGACCATGGTCCCAGACAATACATTTATATCAAAGCCACCAATATGGTGCAATATGGAACTCAGAGTATTTAAAATTCTCAACACAACAGTCACAAGGATTAAAATACGACACAGAACTGCTATTATATTATTATATATATATAGTTAAGATGCTATTATACTCAAGGTAGAGAATTTGTGAAAATCCTTCCAGATCAAATTGCATGAAATTTATAATTAGTATTCGTTAGTCATTAGAATTCATTAGTGCTACATTGTCAAGGAGTTAAAACTTTCTGAAAATACACTTTCACATTTCTCAATTTCTACATAATACTTGATTGCTTTAACATATATACAGTTGCGTCTTTTCTACATCAGCAGTCATTTCAATGTATTTATCAAAGCAATAAAGAGGCATGTATTTTGAAAAAGAGAATACATCATTAGTAGCCATCAGTTAAATCAACAATAAACTTTAGGTCTACATCTGTAGAAAACATGGCAGGCTATTTTCTGGACTGTGCTCTTTAGTATCAGTGAAGTTAAAAGTCAAATTTTCTTTTCAAGACTAATTATACATTTTTTATCTCTGTCCTAAAAGAGGCAAAGATAAGGAAACAGATAACTGTAATAGATAACTGCAGCTGTAACTGCTTTTCCCCTTGTTTCACCCTAATAGTTCTGTTCTTTATTTGATACTTATTATGACCACTCCTGGAATTCTAAGTATCTTAAAAGGAAATCATTGCCTCTCCACTCAGTCATTTTATGTGGTCTTCCCCCAACCTTGTCTATTAGGTCAACTATTTCTCATTTATTTCTGTTTTGTAGTTTCCTTTAACCTGATGAAAACTGAATCAAATGGGCAGCAATTCTACAATCTATCTACTCTGAGAGTAAAAAGAACCTCTATCTCCCACAGCAGTTCCATAAGAATTTGAAGCAACCCAAAATGGTAACGCTGTCAAAATAAGTGACTTTGCCCTTATCTATTGCTTGCTCTGTTTTTGTTCTTGCCTCTGTATCACCCCCTTTCCTCAATGCCAGCATTAACATTTGTGTGACAGCATAGCAAAGCAGTTTGGGACACTGCTCAGATTAAAACCAAATTCAATTCTTCCTTTTCTCCTTGTACTTAAAGTACTAACCAGAGTGCATGTGACCTCTGCTGTTAGAAGTGGGATGTAAAATACCACCATGGTTACAGCACTCACTGCAATCATTCTGTGTCTGGAGCTCCCTAGCCAAAGTTGAGCTTTCTTGGAATACAGTGAGGGCTCAGGCAGAAAGAATAAAATACAAGACATGCTTGATACGTATGACAGCATAAAGAGCAGACTTTGAAATTAAGATGGACAAGAGTTCAGCACTGGTTAACTTATGGATCTTGAATTTATCCCCAGATTAAGGTAATTTCATTACTGAGCTCTAATATTTTAACAACAAATGTATTGACTACAAATTTCATGCTGTCCTGCACTAATAATTTCTAATTTGTTCTCCAAAAAACATGCAGGACACATAATACACCAAAACCCTCTTTTCCCAACCTTTGATCCAGCATTTTTTGATTCTGAGTGCTGAATCCCTTCTAATTGGAACATATTTGATTATAAAATACCACAAGAATGAAGGTTTGTTGGTTCTGGCAAATGTTAGAGATAGGTGCTAATCTTATTTTAGACAAAACAAAAAATTAATCTCTTTCACTTATACTTTCAAACTGAAGCAACACATTAGAAAGAAATCAGAACTTTGAACTCTGATCTACTTGAAACATTTATTACTTTTCACCCGGAAAAGTAATTTTAAGCTTAAAAAAGTAATTTTTAAGGAAAATAATATTAAGCATTGATTTGAAGTCTTATAGCTTTACCTTGCAACGTTGGACAAGTCAAGGTGTTTCTGAACTTCCAGTAACACTTCTCGGAAGAAACGCAATCGTTTTTCCTCAAACTGCTGGCACTGCTCAAATACCTGCTCCATGTTCTCCATATACTGAGGAGTAGCATTATCTAATTCTTTCAGTGATTTTTCATACTTTTCTTTTGTCTAAGAGTACAAAACCAAACTGTTAGCACCGTATTACTTCCCTACAATACAGATTTATCAATGCAGTAATGGCTGAGGTTTAGACCAGGGGTTGCCAAGCTGCAATCTCTTTTCATGACCACTGTACCCACCTTAGGGCACAATGAGAGTCACTCAAGAAAACTGCAGAAACAGTTACAATAAACCTCCAAGCCTCTTCCCTGACTTTTTCATAGAAACCATGACAAATGTTAATGTAGCACTAAAGATAAAAACCAAAGGAGCTACAGAGTAAATCAGAGCAGGAAGTCTTTCAAGTTGCTGAAGGCATTTTAAGATGTTTTAAAGTGCTGTCTTCTCTCCTTCAGTAATTTACATAGTGCACTGTGAGTTATGACCAAAACCCCAAACACTGTGTACATCCTTGTGAACATAAATTGCATATACTGTGAGCTCAGCTAACAGATACAACCTCAGACTCTGCACTCATTTACAGAAGTAGTCCACAGGCAGGAATTAAAAGATCCCAACTGATGGAACTTAACATTCCAGATCCCAGAACAGCATTCTCAAAGGAAAAAGACATCCTTGAGGAATCATACATTAAAAAAGCCTCTCAGTAGCAACCCACTGAAGAGATAAAGCAAACTGTGCACCAGAACAGCAGTTATTCAAGTGGATTTTATCAGCTTCATTTTTAAAAAAATGCATTCTGCAGTCAAGAATGATGACATAGTTAGTTGTCAGCAAGTTTTAGGCATCTATCTCTCAGATTCTCAAGTCCTCACTAGTAAATAAGTAGAACTCTGCCCTAGAAGTTTGCTGGGTTACTGTGCTTAGTTCCCTGCTGAAAGTACTTCTATGAAATAGAGGCCATACATTATTCATCTTCAGAGAAGAAAAATTTGGCAAGAGTAAATTCTTGGGAGAAAACTAAAACTCTGGTACAGGATTGCAACTGGCTATGTGAACTGGTGTTGGTCACAGCACATTCAGGAGGAAAAAAGCTTAAAAATGCACAAGCTATAGGTTGGAAAAACCACCAGTATACCTTTAGTACATCTTGTTTGCTTCTCTCCACTTTGTCTTGTAATTTCTTGAGTTGTTCAGGATTTAGTGCTGGGTCAGCTTTGCTGTTTGTTTCTCTGGATATAGCCAGTTTCTCCTCTTTGCAGGCAGCATGGTAAGCTTTCTTTGCAGCTTCCACCTACAAAGGAGATTTGATTATGTGCATCTTGAACAGCCTATAGCAACCATAAAATCTTAGCCATAAAATCATGTTGCAATGAAGAAATGGTCAGGTTTTGTTTCAGGAATATCTCTTTTTTTTTTGGGGGGGGGAGGGGTTGGAAATAGTTTTCATTTATGCCAAAGAATGAACAACACATAAGAATCAACATAAGGAAATTATTAGAACATTCTTTCACCATACAAGAAATGTCACTCACACAGCTTAGAGAAGTATTGAACAGACTCAACAAAAGGGTTACAGAAAGTCCCCAGCTAAACACTTTTCCCTCATTCCCATGCTCACCTGCTCCCCCTTCTTCTACCAAACTTTTATTTAAGAATTGTTATATGAGGGGGGGGAAAAAAACCACAAACACATTTTCCCTCATTTATTTGAGCAATTCGTAACTTTCAATTGCATAAAATCAGCTACTGTTAAAATGATAGCTTAAATTCCACTTTTTCCAGATTTTCACTGAACTCACCAAGATTAGGAGAGACCAAGAGAAAAATATTTATTTTCAGAAGAGGACAGAAAGCAAGAGAAAGGAGGGTCCAGCAGAAAGAGTAGGGAGTTTACTCCCTTATAGAGATTTGAAACATTAGTATATTATAACACAGGATATCTAAACATAATCTACTGCTGTACCTCTTTCAGCTTTTTTGCCCAGGGTTTCTGAGCTTTCCTAAATCCATCTTCTGCTTCTTTGGTTTCCTTAAATCCTCCCATCATTTGCTTATGAAAGGCTTCCTTCTGCCAGTTCTTGATTTTTTCAAAATCTTCATTCATCAGTGAACCTTTTACTTCTAGATGTAGTTCACTCACTTTTTCAGCTTCTGACATAAAAGCACACCAAGCCCTTTCTACTGTTCCATACTGTGGGCCTAAACACAACAAAAAGTGTCATTCTCAGTAACCATCACCCACATGGAACTTATATTCCCAAGAAACTACCTGAAACTATTGACTTATATTCACTTGTAAACAGCAATGTTGATGCAAACCTACAAAAGGGAACAAGTTCTTTTCATGTAAATTTAGAGAATTACAAACTTTTAAGCCAGAAAAAATAATATTCATTTAGTCTGGAGTCCTTACCCCTGTACCACAATTCTCAATATTCCACATGTGAGCTCCCCTTTGAACTGCCTTCAGTTTCTCAATGTACTTTTTGAAGGGTGAATAACCGTGGAAGGACAAACTATTGCAGAATATATTAAATAGCATCAGCTTAGCCTTCCATTAGAGCAGTTTCTAGGTCTTTAATTACTAGTCTCTCCCCCACAGTCACATTGTTATTCAGAATCCCTTTTCAAACTGTACTGGTAATTATCTAGAAACAGACAGTTCTCTAGAGCATGACTCCATACTGGAGGCAAGATTCTTCATCTTCAGCAAGAAACAAGCAAACGTGCAAAACAGCAGAGCTTTGCTTGGTTGGGTTTTCATCAAAAAAAGCTTGGTCATTTGTCATATTACTGAGCCTCTTGCAAAGACTCCATTATAAGCTAAAACATACAGTATTTCTACTTCATACTTACCAAAACAAAGATATACAGAAACATTTTTTTTCCATCTGAGAAAGTTGTCAGAGTTCAAACTCAGCATTACCTTTCTCCACAAGTTGCTTCCACCTTTTAGCCCATTCAGTGAGCTGCTGAGCATAGCCCTTCTCTATCCGTGCCCGTTCATGAATACAATTCATAAGATCATTGCAAAGTCTGTGGCCATCATCAATTCGTTTTACTGTCCTCTTGTAATTCCCAACCTACCAAGAGACAAACACTTAATTTCTGCTTGAGAGCTCTTAAAACAAGACAAATCTCTAAATAACAAAAATGCTGTAAACCAAGAGTAAGATAATACAGTAGGAAATAATGAATTATGGGATCAGGGTCATTCACCTTAAATCTTAAATCAATGAATCATAAAACCTAATTGCAACAATATAACAAAGGCTACAAGTTCCCCTGAAAAAAAAGTTTGTTAATTTAAAAGTGAAAGCTTTATTATATTTTATTAAGTCTGCAATGTAATTATGAGCTGTCGCCACAATTGTTCTGCATTATTATTTCTTGGTAATATTCTAAATAGTGGAGAAAATTAAGAGAAATAATAGAGTATTTACTTCCCTCTTCAATGTTTATTATCAAGTACCCAATACCTTAAATTTATGCTGTGTTTAATCTTTCAGGATTAACAGAACTGCAGAGATATGCAAAGAAGAATTGCAACATCTCTATCAACCATAATAATACTTTTTAAGAATGAAGTCACTGCTGACAAACCAGATAGCAATTATTTCCAAAGGATACTCTAGAATTTAATGTGTAAAGATACTGACAGAACAACATGGAGTTACCATACTTAGAATTGTAAATACTAAAGAAAAAAAACCCACAGTTGCTCAACGTACAAGCTACAATAAAATGAGGATATGGAGCAAAATGCACACTATATAATGAACATCCATTATATAATTAACACTCCCCTTTCACTCTTGTGCACACACCAACATGGAATAACAAATCTCAATGTCTGAAAGGAAGAAAAGGCTTACACTGCTCCACAGTAACATTTCCACCGAATTCAAGGTCACTCAGGTTGGCCCTTATAAACATTAAACAAGACCTAAGAACTCTGTTAAGAGAACTTGCACAGCCTATTAAACATCACAGCCAGTTTCTTATCTGCCCTGACCACCTGACTGAAAAACAAAGATTAGCAGCAAGGCATGAGATTAAATATTCAAATACTCAAAGAGCATTAGTCATTCTTACATTTGAATCATATCTGCTTCACATCTGACCTAGAGGAAAACATCCAACTTTTAGGTTCACATTTATTCAGATTTTTGTCAGCAGATGTACATGCAAGCCATTTGCTTGAGAAAAATGGTATACAGGGAAATACTCTTAAAAAGGGGGGAAAAAATCCCTATATTAACTACTGGAGGAATAAATAACTATACCGATAAATATAGACATATGCTAGGCCTTCTCATTAAATCTGGGAAAAAAATAAAATTAAAACCATCAATGACATGACAAAACCATTTTTCTTAGTGGCTTCAAAGAATTCATTTGAGCATGTTTTTTGGTTTGGACTAGATTCACTTCAACAGATCAAAGGAATTTAGTTAGCATCTAAGTAAGGCATTAGTTAGCAGTCACTGATTTGTCTAAATCATGTAAACAAATGCATAAACACACCCCCTGCAGATTTAAACAAAAGCCACAATGTAACCGATGATAAGAAGCTACCAGAGAGAGTCAATGCATCCATGCCAACTGATTGCATCTATTACCAAGAAAGCATGAAAAATAACCTTCTATTTTCAGGAGAAATGGAAATGGAGAAGTAGGCAGTTATACATATGTAATCAAAGTGTTAAGGGAATTAAATTCCTCCAAGAATATCTACAGTCTTTGTAATGGAAGACAAATCATTCATCTGCTCAGAATTACTCCAGCTGTAGGTTCACAGTTGAGCAGATTTTCAAAACAGGTTATGGTAGCTTGGCACAGCTACTGAAGCCTTATATTACCATCAATTTGTGTCTCCAGTTATGTGCCCGGGGATTTATGTCCACAGCACAAACACTTCCTTTCATACATTTTCACTACTAAATTAGCATTTTAAATGCTAATATTGAACGAGAGCTGGCTGCCTTGTGGTATGATTAATCTCTTCATTCTGAGCAAACTCCAACCTCATGCTAATATCCAGCAGTTGCCAAATTTCAGGCAGGTATTCAGACGACTGAACTGAGCTTACCTGTGATGGTCCATTCACTGTTACCACAAAAGGGCACCTTTAAAGGGCTGCGTGCACACCACAGATAATTCACCCACACTGCCGCCTCCTCCTCACAGGACTGAAGGAACTCAGCATCACAGTTTAGAATCAGTATAAACAGGAACCACCAGGCCTACAATGCTAGAAAATAACCTGGTATTGCAAAGCCTTTTACACTGAAATTTGCCCTATGAGGAATGCTAGAATTTTGGAAATAGAGTATTTTTCCTGTGTTCCATGACAGAGAACATAAGTTATATAACTTGGGATGTAACATTTTGGAAACCCAGTGGTTTCTTTCAAAATTGCATTTTAAGTTAGGGACACTGCAATGACACATTTTAGAGATGTGGAATGTGCACCCTGTCACTGCAGGACACAAGATTTGAGACATAAGGTCCTTAAGCCAAATATAGGGAAAAGAATTTCAGTTTTTATGTGGTCAAGGAACTACTAGATTAACTGTAGATAGATTAAAACAATAAATGAAAAACTTAGCAACACACTCAAGACACTGTGAACGCTGAAAAACATGTTACACATTGTTTATTCAAAACTTTTTTCTCCAGTTTCTGAGGTAAATGGCAAACATTCTGCAAGACCTCCCCCTTTCCCCTTCACAAGAAATAATCGAGCAAATTAAAAATGAAGAATTCTTTTATTTGTAGCAACTGACCAGGAACAACACAAGCAAAAAAATCCTGTGCATCTTTGTTTCAGTCAGAGCCATTTTACATAATGATTGGCAATTTTCAGATTTCTCAATTAGTTCTGTACAGTACATGAACATACATGATTTTGCTAGTTAAAATTATTTCCTGATTATTCTGAGCATTAGGCTATTTCCTGTTAAGCAGACAACTAAGACATGAACGAAATTAAGACATGAAGTTTAAATTTTCATGCCCTACAAATAAAATATTTGTTTCAGAAAAGTAAATTGTAAGATTACAAACTTTCTCACCATTTAAAGAAGAAAAATAGATATTTAAAAACTATATCCCACTTTCATTTTATCATCAACACTACATCCGTCTGAAAGAGAGTTTATTATATGACATCAAATTCAGTTTCTGTTTACCCTTAGTTGTCAGAAACACTTCAAAAGGAAATAACCAAGTTTATTTCTTAAAAATATCACCACAATGGTCACTTTTTTTGATGCAATCAGTTAATTCTGGGAAAATTGTGATTCATACTTTTGTGTCACTCTCCTTACCTGTTCTAATTTGAACTAATCGTCAGTTTTTCCACTGCAAAAAACACTGATCTTTCTTACTAATAAACTTCAGTTGATTCTATTTTGTCCCATTTCTCTCTACAGGCATTATAGATGCCTTCAGGTCTCCAGCTAGCTTAACCAAGACTGCGTTCCTTTTGATTTTATAACTTCTTCTCAGGCATGAGCACAGAAATGTCACTTCAAATCCTCTGCCAAACCTAAGATTTAGGGAATCTGTAACATCCCTAAAAACCACAGAGGCACCCTCTGATGAGGCACTGATCATCCTATAGCTGGCAGTGCAGGCAGCTTTCCTTACACCAAGGGAGCCAAGCAATGTCACTGATAGGATCTTTAGTGGGGATATCTGAAGAGTTTACAACCTCATTATTCTACAATTTCACAGCACTAAACACAAAGAATCTTAAATTATGTAGGCTCCTTTCCCTCAACTGTTAAGACTTTTTTTATTCTTATTTTATTGAGCAGCACAAAAGCCTAGAGCACTAAACACACTTTGCAAGTTTTTCTGATACACTGAGAGAAAAAAGAAGAATATTTTCATTTGTTAGCAGCCCAGAAGGTGGCAAACGTTCAGCTATTGCTAAACTCCTGTTAGGTAATTTCAGCACACCATGATAAACATTATACCACAAATACTTCGGGAGTTTCAAATGCCTGAAGATAGATTTGATGTCAACTCTTTTCCAAGCTTGCAGAGCTTATTCATAGCAAGTCAGCCTTTATGAAATGGAACCATTCAAAACAAAGTCAACAAGGGTATTTTTAGGGGCAAATACTCCTAGGCATGACATAGAATAATAAGCTTTAAAGGTTCATAGTCAAACCCACACATATCAACGGCCAGCATGGGGACACATTATTTCCAGCATTCCATTTAACCATGAGAAAAATTTCTTTCCAGCTACGTCAAACGGGAAGTTTCCAAACTTTTCAACCAGCATTAACATCTACAACCACTGTGTGGTTTTTATAAATAGGAAAAATGATCTTGGTGCATAATTAGCACATACAGTCCAAGTACTTATGAGTACTAGCTCTGAGTAAGTTTAAGTTTATGCATATAAATTCACCCCTGGTTACAAGAAAAATCCTGAGGAAGCTCTTAAACACACAAAATCTTAAGCCAAACACACCAGTAAAGCAAACACTGGGAATATAAATGAAAAATATTCCATTGCTCAAAGTTAGGAGGAGTTTTAAAAAATGACTATGTGACAGGAATCTACTATTGCAGAGTCCAAATATTTTTTATCCAGAGTGTTACATTTGTACCTTGCTTTGGTTGGTTGGTGTTTTTATTTGGGGTNTTAAGAGAAAGGAGGGTCCAGCAGAAAGAGTAGGGAGTTTACTCCCTTATAGAGATTTGAAACATTAGTATATTATAACACAGGATATCTAAACATAATCTACTGCTGTACCTCTTTCAGCTTTTTTGCCCAGGGTTTCTGAGCTTTCCTAAATCCATCTTCTGCTTCTTTGGTTTCCTTAAATCCTCCCATCATTTGCTTATGAAAGGCTTCCTTCTGCCAGTTCTTGATTTTTTCAAAATCTTCATTCATCAGTGAACCTTTTACTTCTAGATGTAGTTCACTCACTTTTTCAGCTTCTGACATAAAAGCACACCAAGCCCTTTCTACTGTTCCATACTGTGGGCCTAAACACAACAAAAAGTGTCATTCTCAGTAACCATCACCCACATGGAACTTATATTCCCAAGAAACTACCTGAAACTATTGACTTATATTCACTTGTAAACAGCAATGTTGATGCAAACCTACAAAAGGGAACAAGTTCTTTTCATGTAAATTTAGAGAATTACAAACTTTTAAGCCAGAAAAAATAATATTCATTTAGTCTGGAGTCCTTACCCCTGTACCACAATTCTCAATATTCCACATGTGAGCTCCCCTTTGAACTGCCTTCAGTTTCTCAATGTACTTTTTGAAGGGTGAATAACCGTGGAAGGACAAACTATTGCAGAATATATTAAATAGCATCAGCTTAGCCTTCCATTAGAGCAGTTTCTAGGTCTTTAATTCCTAGTCTCTCCCCCACAGTCACATTGTTATTCAGAATCCCTTTTCAAACTGTACTGGTAATTATCTAGAAACAGACAGTTCTCTAGAGCATGACTCCATACTGGAGGCAAGATTCTTCATCTTCAGCAAGAAACAAGCAAACGTGCAAAACAGCAGAGCTTTGCTTGGTTGGGTTTTCATCAAAAAAAGCTTGGTCATTTGTCATATTACTGAGCCTCTTGCAAAGACTCCATTATAAGCTAAAACATACAGTATTTCTACTTCATACTTACCAAAACAAAGATATACAGAAACATTTTTTTCCATTTGAGAAAGTTGTCAGAGTTCAAACTCAGCATTACCTTTCTCCACAAGTTGCTTCCACCTTTTAGCCCATTCAGTGAGCTGCTGAGCATAGCCCTTCTCTATCCGTGCCCGTTCATGAATACAATTCATAAGATCATTGCAAAGTCTGTGGCCATCATCAATTCGTTTTACTGTCCTCTTGTAATTCCCAACCTACCAAGAGACAAACACTTAATTTCTGCTTGAGAGCTCTTAAAACAAGACAAATCTCTAAATAACAAAAATGCTGTAAACCAAGAGTAAGATAATACAGTAGAAAATAATGAATTATGGGATCAGGGTCATTCACCTTAAATCTTAAATCAATGAATCATAAAACCTAATTGCAACAATATAACAAAGGCTACAAGTTCCCCTGAAAAAAAAGTTTGTTAATTTAAAAGTGAAAGCTTTATTATATTTTATTAAGTCTGCAATGTAATTATGAGCTGTCGCCACAATTGTTCTGCATTATTATTTCTTGGTAATATTCTAAATAGTGGAGAAAATTAAGAGAAATAATAGAGTATTTACTTCCCTCTTCAATGTTTATTATCAAGTACCCAATACCTTAAATTTATGCTGTGTTTAATCTTTCAGGATTAACAGAACTGCAGAGACATGCAAAGAAGAATTGCAACATCTCTATCAACCATAATAATACTTTTTAAGAATGAAGTCACTGCTGACAAACCAGATAGCAATTATTTCCAAAGGATACTCTAGAATTTAATGTGTAAAGATACTGACAGAACAACATGGAGTTACCATACTTAGAATTGTAAATACTAAAGAAAAAAAACCCACAGTTGCTCAACGTACAAACTACAATAAAATGAGGATATGGAGCAAAATGCACACTATATAATGAACATCCATTATATAATTAACACTCCCCTTTCACTCTTGTGCACACACCAACATGGAATAACAAATCTCAATGTCTGAAAGGAAGAAAAGGCTTATTACACTGCTCCACAGTAACATTTCCACCGAATTCAAGGTCACTCAGGTTGGCCCTTATAAACATTAAACAAGACCTAAGAACTCTGTTAAGAGAACTTGCACAGCCTATTAAACATCACAGCCAGTTTCTTATCTGCCCTGACCACCTGACTGAAAAACAAAGATTAGCAGCAAGGCATGAGATTAAATATTCAAATACTCAAAGAGCATTAGTCATTCTTACATTTGAATCATATCTGCTTCACATCTGACCTAGAGGAAAACATCCAACTTTTAGGTTCACATTTATTCAGATTTTTGTCAGCAGATGTACATGCAAGCCATTTGCTTGAGAAAAATGGTATACAGGGAAATACTCTTAAAAAGGGGGGAAAAAATCCCTATATTAACTACTGGAGGAATAAATAACTATACCGATAAATATAGACATATGCTAGGCCTTCTCATTAAATCTGGGAAAAAAATAAAATTAAAACCATCAATGACAAAAACATTTCTCTTACTGGCTTCAAAGAATTCATTTGAGCATGTTTTTTGGTTTGGACTAGATTCACTTCAACAGATCAAAGGAATTTAGTTAGCATCTAAGTAAGGCATTAGTTAGCAGTCACTGATTTGTCTAAATCATGTAAACAAATGCATAAACACACCCCCTGCAGATTTAAACAAAAGCCACAATGTAACCGATGATAAGAAGCTACCAGAGAGAGTCAATGCATCCATGCCAACTGATTGCATCTATTACCAAGAAAGCATGAAAAATAACCTTCTATTTTCAGGAGAAATGGAAATGGAGAAGTAGGCAGTTATACATATGTAATCAAAGTGTTAAGGGAATTAAATTCCTCCAAGAATATCTACAGTCTTTGTAATGGAAGACAAATCATTCATCTGCTCAGAATTACTCCAGCTGTAGGTTCACAGTTGAGCAGATTTTCAAAACAGGTTATGGTAGCTTGGCACAGCTACTGAAGCCTTATATTACCATCAATTTGTGTCTCCAGTTATGTGCCCGGGGATTTATGTCCACAGCACAAACACTTCCTTTCATACATTTTCACTACTAAATTAGCATTTTAAATGCTAATATTGAATGAGAGCTGGCTGCCTTGTGGTATGATTAATCTCTTCATTCTGAGCAAACTCCAACCTCATGCTAATATCCAGCAGTTGCCAAATTTCAGGCAGGTATTCAGACGACTGAACTGAGCTTACCTGTGATGGTCCATTCACTGTTACCACAAAAGGGCACCTTTAAAGGGCTGCGTGCACACCACAGATAATTCACCCACACTGCCGCCTCCTCCTCACAGGACTGAAGGAACTCAGCATCACAGTTTAGAATCAGTATAAACAGGAACCACCAGGCCTACAATGCTAGAAAATAACCTGGTATTGCAAAGCCTTTTACACTGAAATTTGCCCTATGAGGAATGCTAGAATTTTGGAAATAGAGTATTTTTCCTGTGTTCCATGACAGAGAACATAAGTTATATAACTTGGGATGTAACATTTTGGAAACCCAGTGGTTTCTTTCAAAATTGCATTTTAAGTTAGGGACACTGCAATGACACATTTTAGAGATGTGGAATGTGCACCCTGTCACTGCAGGACACAAGATTTGAGACATAAGGTCCTTAAGCCAAATATAGGGAAAAGAATTTCAGTTTTTATGTGGTCAAGGAACTACTAGATTAACTGTAGATAGATTAAAACAATAAATGAAAAACTTAGCAACACACTCAAGACACTGTGAACGCTGAAAAACATGTTACACATTGTTTATTCAAAACTTTTTTCTCCAGTTTCTGAGGTAAATGGCAAACATTCTGCAAGACCTCCCCCTTTCCCCTTCACAAGAAATAATCGAGCAAATTAAAAATGAAGAATTCTTTTATTTGTAGCAACTGACCAGGAACAACACAAGCAAAAAAATCCTGTGCATCTTTGTTTCAGTCAGAGCCATTTTACATAATGATTGGCAATTTTCAGATTTCTCAATTAGTTCTGTACAGTACATGAACATACATGATTTTGCTAGTTAAAATTATTTCCTGATTATTCTGAGCATTAGGCTATTTCCTGTTAAGCAGACAACTAAGACATGAACGAAATTAAGACATGAAGTTTAAATTTTCATGTCCTACAAATAAAATATTTGTTTCAGAAAAGTAAATTGTAAGATTACAAACTTTCTCACCATTTAAAGAAGAAAAATAGATATTTAAAAACTATATCCCACTTTCATTTTATCATCAACACTACATCCGTCTGAGAGTTTATTATATGACATCAAATTCAGTTTCTGTTTACCCTTAGTTGTCAGAAACACTTCAAAAGGAAATAACCAAGTTTATTTCTTAAAAATATCACCACAATGGTCACTTTTTTTGATGCAATCAGTTAATTCTGGGAAAATTGTGATTCATACTTTTGTGTCACTCTCCTTACCTGTTCTAATTTGAACTAATCGTCAGTTTTTCCACTGCAAAAAACACTGATCTTTCTTACTAATAAACTTCAGTTGATTCTATTTTGTCCCATTTCTCTCTACAGGCATTATAGATGCCTTCAGGTCTCCAGCTAGCTTAACCAAGACTGCGTTCCTTTTGATTTTATAACTTCTTCTCAGGCATGAGCACAGAAATGTCACTTCAAATCCTCTGCCAAACCTAAGATTTAGGGAATCTGTAACATCCCTAAAAACCACAGAGGCACCCTCTGATGAGGCACTGATCATCCTATAGCTGGCAGTGCAGGCAGCTTTCCTTACACCAAGGGAGCCAAGCAATGTCACTGATAGGATCTTTAGTGGGGATATCTGAAGAGTTTACAACCTCATTATTCTACAATTTCACAGCACTAAACACAAAGAATCTTAAATTATGTAGGCTCCTTTCCCTCAACTGTTAAGACTTTTTTTATTCTTATTTTATTGAGCAGCACAAAAGCCTAGAGCACTAAACACACTTTGCAAGTTTTTCTGATACACTGAGAGAAAAAAGAAGAATATTTTCATTTGTTAGCAGCCCAGAAGGTGGCAAACGTTCAGCTATTGCTAAACTCCTGTTAGGTAATTTCAGCACACCATGATAAACATTATACCACAAATACTTCGGGAGTTTCAAATGCCTGAAGATAGATTTGATGTCAACTCTTTTCCAAGCTTGCAGAGCTTATTCATAGCAAGTCAGCCTTTATGAAATGGAACCATTCAAAAGAAAGTCAACAAGGGTATTTTTAGGGGCAAATACTCCTAGGCATGACATAGAATAATAAGCTTTAAAGGTTCATAGTCAAACCCACACATATCAACGGCCAGCATGGGGACACATTATTTCCAGCATTCCATTTAACCATGAGAAAAATTTCTTTCCAGCTACGTCAAACGGGAAGTTTCCAAACTTTTCAACCAGCATTAACATCTACAACCACTGTGTGGTTTTTATAAATAGGAAAAATGATCTTGGTGCATAATTAGCACATACAGTCCAAGTACTTATGAGTACTAGCTCTGAGTAAGTTTAAGTTTATGCATATAAATTCACCCCTGGTTACAAGAAAAATCCTGAGGAAGCTCTTAAACACACAAAATCTTAAGCCAAACACACCAGTAAAGCAAACACTGGGAATATAAATGAAAAATATTCCATTGCTCAAAGTTAGGAGGAGTTTTAAAAAATGACTATGTGACAGGAATCTACTATTGCAGAGTCCAAATATTTTTTATCCAGAGTGTTACATTTGTACCTTGCTTTGGTTGGTTGGTGTTTTTATTTGGGGTAGGGGTTTTTCAGTGGCTTGTTTTGTTGGTTTTTTTTTAATATGGTTAGGAGGGGGCAGGGGACAATGGTAACACAAACAGAGGCCAAATTTGATTCATCCATACTACACAGGGGATCAACTTCTACTGTGTGAGGTCTTATATTGCTAATGATTCTCAGCAAATCCTTCAGAATGCAACAAAAGCCCTGTGTTCAGAACTTCAAAATGCACACCAGGTCCTGTGCTCCAAGGGAATCACTCACAGGGCTGAACTAATCCCAGCTGCAGGTTTAGCAGCTGTTCAGAGTGACTTTTTCTGTTTGGGTAAGTAGGTGTTTGAACCACCCCTGCAATAAATGGGCTCCATATTGCTGATGTTAGCAGAAAGTCAGGGAGATAAGGAAGCACACCTAGGGGATGAGGAGCACACAGTCTCTGAGGGA